AAGGGGCCGCCATGCAGCTACTCTTTAGAGGACTCTATTTTTGTTTTTATTAGACCTGGTGAGGCAGGTTGTATTTCTTCTCTTGTGCTCCAAATTGTCTGTTTCTCGATGATCTGTTCAGGTTTATTTTGTGATCTATGTCGATAAGTTCATTTCTTGTTACACAGACCTTTAGGATGGTGTTAGTTGTAGTGTTGGGGCTGTAAGCGGCTTGCAATTTATAGTCATTAAGCTGCTTATATTATTTTAGGCAGTTATCATCACATCTATCTATATATGTTTTTGTTTTCTCTTGTAACTGGTAAATGACTTCATTGTCTGCTTGTATGCAGCTTTTTGGAACATTATGGCATATACCTTGTTATGTTTTTTGATGGTATAGCTTGTTTGTATTTAGATGTTGCTTAATACATCAGTGTGCTAATGTTTCAACTTTTTTCACTCTGTGTTTGTTCCTTTTTGTGTATGTATTACTATAATCCTTACATGTTATGGTTGTACTTACTATTTGGTTAGTTTGTCTACAAGGATGTACGTTATTTGTAAGATTAAAATGGCAAGAGAGTCCAAATTAGGCTAGGATAAGTGTACTTCAAGTTGCCCTATATTATATGGGCTGGCTGATAGATTGTTTTATATGTAAGTATTATAATCACAGAAGTTATAATGATACACATGTGATGTATATATTATATTAGTGTCATTTTATAGCAAGTGCGGCTGTGCATACAGTGTAGCATCAGGGTCTCCGATTGTCTTGACAGGTAATGTGAGACATCTCTTACCTTCTTCATTTTTTTCTATCCTTGAGGATGCGTTTTTGGTGTGGCTAGTTATACCAGTTGTCTGTATTTTTCACACTCCTAGTTTTCTGGGCCAGGATGTCTTTCTCTCTTCGCTCTCTCTTCGTCATTTTTCTCTCTGATTGTTTATTTGTCGTGATTTTTATCTCTTCTTTCGCCGGTTTTTTTATCTTGCTTGCCGGGCATGTCCTTTGGTTCTTCGAGGTCATACTGGGGTCTTGGTGGCTTCATTTAGTCAGAGAAGATACCTGAGTTTCACTGAAGTGGACCGCAGTTGTGCTGGTGTTAATCAGTGCTTTCTCATATCTGATGGAACGATTAGTTAATGGACCAGACAGCGCTCTTATATTATATTGCAGTGAGCATTGTTCTTATTTGACTCCACGCTTCTATATGG